TACTGGTGACACAGCAAGGCTTTTTGAGGACACCCATTCCAGGCACAGCTCCCAAACCTGAGTGCATTTGGCTGCTGTTCAGTTGGGTCGGTTGTGATGGTTTGAGGAGGGTGCAGACAGGTACAGAGCTTGTTCTGCTGTTGGGGTTGTGCTGTCTCAGTAGCAGAAAGGGACCTGGGGTGTTGGTGGCAGCAGATCCCATGAGGTGACACAGCAAGGCTTTTTGAGGACACCCATTCCAGGCACAGCTCCCAAACCTGAGTGCATTTGGCTGCTGTTCAGTTGGGTCGGTTGTGATGGTTTGAGGAGGGTGCAGACAGGTACAGAGCTTGTTCTGCTGTTGGGGTTGTGCTGTCTCAGTAGCAGAAAGGGACCTGGGGTGTTGGTGGCAGCAGATCCCATGAGCCAGCAATGTGCCCTTGAGCCAAGAAGGCCAACGCCATCCTGGGCTGGATGAGAAGGGGTGGTTGTAGGGCACAGAGGTTCTCCTGCCCCTCTGCTCTGCCCTGCTCACACCACAGCTGCAATCTTGTGTCCAGTGCTGGGCCCTCAGCTCCAGAAGGACAGGAACTGCTTGAAAGAGTCCAGCAGGGCCACAAAGTGATGGAGGGAGTGGAGCATCTCCTGCTGAGGAGTGGCTGAGGGAGCTGGGGCTCTTGAGCTTGGAGCAGAGGAGACTGAGGGGTGCCCTCATTCCTGGGGATCCATTGGGAAAGGGCAGTGTCAGGAGGAAGGAGCCAGGCTCTGCTCTGGGATGGCCAATGCCAGGACAAGGGGCAATGGTCCCAAGCTGGAGCACAGGAGGTTCAAGCTGAAGATGAGGCCAAACTTTGTGAGTGTGAGGGTTCTGGAGCATGGCCCAGGCTGCCCAGAGAGGTTGTGGAGTCTCCTTGTGTGCAGACACCCAAAGCCCTGGCCGTGTTCCTGTGTGACTGCTCTGGTGATCCTGCTGTGGCAGGGGTTGCACTGGGGGAGCTTTCCAGGTCCCTTCCCACTCCTCATATTCTGAGATTCTGTAATGGGTTGACTTCACTTCTCCTTCCTCACAGCTCTGCCCAGCCAGCAGCCGTTAAGCTTAAAGAAGAAGATTTCCCCAGCTTGTCGTCCTCTGCAGCCCCCACCATCTCTGCTGGGATGGCTTTGACCTACACAGCGACTGCAAAGAAAACGGCTTTCCAAGAGGAGGATTTCCCAGCTCTGGTGTCCAAAATGAGGCCTAACAATAAAACGGTGACCAACATCACGTCTGCGTGGAACAGCGGTTCCAGTAAAAGTGTGGTCAAAGCCATGAGCAACCCCTGCGTAAACCAGGTAGCCAAAAAACCATCCTTGAACAGCACTAAAGGAAGCAAGAAGAGCAATAAACTCTCTCAGTCGGACGATGAGGACAGCGGCAGCGGCTTGACCACCCAGGAGATCAGAAACGCGCCGACGATGTTTGACGTCTCGTCCTTGCTGGCGGCTTCTACCTCACAAACTTTTATGAAAGTGAGCAAGAAAAAGAAGACGGGGGTTGAGAAGCAGAGGCCGTCGTCCCCGCACCCCTTGCAGGAGGCGACGTTTCCCAGGCTGTCGACCGAAAAGCCGCTGCCGGACGTGGAGCAGGCACCGAACGCGTCCTCTGCTCCTCACGCCCCTGACAGATCCGCAGCCGTGGTGAACGGCCATTCGGAAAAGTCCTTAGGGATCTGCACTACACCCAAAGAGCCCCCCGGCCTTAAAAAGCCCGCAGGGACTAACAAGTGCCCTTTACCTCAGGAAGACTTCCCAGCCCTTGGGAGCTCAGGATCGGCTCGAATGCCCCCGCCACCAGGTAAGGGCTGCAGGGCAGGGGCAGCTTCGCTTGGAGGTGGCTTAGAGAAACGTGGCTGTGGCTGAGATGTACAAACAGCTCCTGGCTTTTGTGTTTGAGGTTGAAAATGCAGTTTGGGGGCATGGGCGGGTTGGAACGGCCTCTGTAAATCGCTGGAGCAGTGGCAGTGTTGGGAGAGCTCTGCTGCACGCAGCTGCAGGAGTTTGCTCACAGATGAGCAGCATTTACTGAGCCGCGGCTGACACAAACCTGTGTGGTTTGTGCTGTGGGCAAAGGGAGCCTCGTTAGCTGTGACCTGTGCCCGCTGGTGCCGTCTGCGCGCTTGCTTGGTCGCTTGGTCTGCGTTTGCAGAGATTTAATGGCCTTGCTTTTAGCAGTGCTGTGATTTTGTGAAAGTGGAGGAGCACAGCAACAAACGGGACTCTCACTGGAGCCCCCGGATCAGGACGTGCTCACGGAGTTGGTTTGCTCTGTGCCGCTCTGCAGACGCTGCTCGGTGGAGCACAGTAGAAAATGTGATACCTTGTGCTGCTGGGACTTGTGCAGCGATTTCTGCTCACGTTAATGATGTAAAAGTGCTTTTCCATTGTGAGCTAGAGTAGGGCTTTTAGAAAACATTTTCCACTGAGAAGTAAATTAACAGTTAAAGCGCATTCTTCGTAGAGTGACAGCAGCCACTGTGAAGAGCTTCTTGACCTGACCCTTAAGGCGACAGATTTCTATCTAATTTTCAGGGTTTATTTCCAGTACGGCAACGTCTGCACTGCTGAATCCTACTTGGTTCATCAGACCACGGGTGCTCACTGCACACACAGGTACGTGGTGCCCCAGACGTGCTCTAACCCCTGCCCGGTCTCTGCTCTCGTGCAGGCTTTAACACCGTGGTGCTGCTGAAGGGTCCTCCCCCGCCGCCGGGGCTGGCGGTGCCCCTCGGCAAACCCCCGCCAGGCTTCGCTGTTATCCCAGCCACCAACGTCTCCGAACCCGTCACCACCTCTTTGAAAGAGTGAGTGCAAGTCCTTGGAGTCGTGTTTTACATCTCAGTTGCGTTATTGGGCTTCAGACACCGCACGCAGTACCCTGAGGGGATCGCTCTGGTGCCGCAGCCGCTTCGTGGTCCCCCTTGGGGTGCTGCGGGCTGGATGCAGGAGAGCTGTGTGACAGGAAACCCGAGTGTGGTGTGGGTTCAAGTCTGAGGGAGTGAAAACCTGTGCAGTGTGGCAGCTCAGACTTGGGTCTTCTCTAGATGTACTTGGAAATCTGCAGCTTCAGTGTATTTCTTACCCTTTCCATCGATTCAGTCCCAGCAGTGAGGTGCCAAAGCCAGTTTTTCTCACTGACTCTCAAAGCCTTCACTGCTGCCATCTTCGCAGTGGCTGGGCTCTGGCTGGAGCCTTTCTGGGCCAGAGAGATGAGTTTATGGGAAAAGGGGAGGGGAAACCTGTTTAAGTTTACTACAGACGTGTGTATTCATCTCGTTGGTGTTACTCATGGCGTGATCTTTGTTGCTCACATCTTTTTAGTGAACCCAGCTTGCGGAACGGTGAGTCAAGACCATGGGAAACTTGTGTTTTAGATACTCTTGTGTAGGTAAAGCTGGGATCTGAGGCAGTAGTGCCACAGGACACATTTAACTGCCCCACCAAGACAGCAGCGCACTGCTGACCGTGACTGCACGTGGATTTGGGTGGAGCAAGGGAGTCCCACGGCAGAGAGCGGCCACAGAGCGTGGATCCCGCAGCATCTTCGTGCGACACGAAGCGACGTCAAAGTCACTTCTGGTCTTTTTCAAATGCAGGCCAAAATCCTCTCACGGATCCTACTTGATACCTGAAAACTTCCAGAAGAGGAACATCGAGCTGATACAATCTATTAAAGAGTTTCTTCAAAGCGATGAGTCCAAGTTCAATAAATTTAAAACTCATTCTGGGCAATTCAGACAGGTGAGTGGGCGACAACCACCGTGGGATTCCCAAAACCTTCCTGTCCGGGAGCAGGTGAATCCCACTGGGGTTTTTTACGTACACGTGCATTTTTCCCTAATTATTCCCAATCTCTGTGCCCGGCAGGGTCTGATTTCCGCAGCACAGTATTACAAAAGCTGCCGAGAGCTGCTTGGAGAGAACTTCAAGAAGATCTTCAACGAGCTGCTGGTGTTGTTGCCGGACACGGTTAAACAACAAGAACTCCTCTCCGCTCACAACGACTTCCGAATCCGAGAGAAGCAAAGCTCCAACAAACCCAAAAAGAACAAAAAGAACGCTTGGCAGACGGACTCCAGCTCCGACCTCGACTGCTGCATCTGCCCCACGTGTAAGCAGGTGCTGACCCAGCAGGACGTGGTCACCCACAAAGCTTTGCATATCGAGGACGAGGAGTTCCCCTCCCTGCAGGCCATCAGCAGGATCATCAGCTAGCTGTCCCCACGCCAATAAAACCCTCTCTGGCCGTCGAGGTGCACTTTGTGGAGCGAGGTTTGGCAGCGAGGAGCGGCCGAGAGCCGGTGGAGGAGTCTGGTAACGTGGGGAGCCCTCTCAGCGCTCCCTAATGATACCGTGTTCGTGTGGAAATGCTGCGCAGGGGGTGGCTGATTGCGCCGTGGCTCCTCAACGCCCAAAGGCTGAGCTTCCCCAGCGCCGGGGTAGAATTAGGCTGAGATTGGGGGCAGGCAGGGGGCACCTTGTGCTGGAGCACGCGACGGCTGCGAAAACACTTCCTGATCTGCGGCCGGGGAACACGATAGGGGAATAAGCGACTGGTTTGGGGATTTTCTTTCTCTTTTAGCGGGGGTTTGGGGGAAAGATTGAGTCACTGAAATGATGGGGAGCAAAAGTGGCTTCCCGTATAATAATCTGATTTTTTTTTTTCATTTGTGCTGTTTCTGTGAGCAGTCAGGGGCACAAAGGGGCACTAAAGAGGCTACAGCTGCGGGTTGCTCCTGTCCGAAACCAGATTTAATTCAGTACTTGAACGGGACGGGCCTGTGTCATCCAATGGAGTCACCTCTGACCTTTTCTGTAACGCGTTCTCCGCAGCACCTGGTTTTGTAGCACTGCATGTACAACAATTACAGCCTTGAGGCTTTCCTTTCCGTAAAGCGCGCTCCAGGGTCCTTTTATTCGACGACCGCCGCGTTTCTCGTTGCGGGGCCGCGAGCGGGGGCGGCTGCGGGGCCGTGAGCTGCTGAGCGCGTTACCCGCGCTGCCTTGCGGTGCCCTTCGCTCCGTGCCCGCCGGCATCGCCCGTTCCCGTGCGGAGCCTTTGCGCCCTGCACCCCCTCGGCTTTGCTGCTGCTGCTCCCTGAACCTCGCCCCTCTGAGAGCAGGGAGGGGAACCTGCTCGGCGTTTGAGGTAACTCCTAACGCGACCCAGGGACGAGAGCCCTCCCTGCGCTTCTGGTGTCTGATGCTCTGCCATCCCAGCAGCCCAGGTTTAGACACTTTGAACACCCAGGAGTAAAAGTTGACGTTAATTTAAGGAACTCTTAGGGACGCTGCTTTGGTTTAAGCATCGTTTCTACGAAATTGAGCTCGGGGTATTCCTGAAGAGCTCATTCTGGCTACAGAAACTTCCTCGCCTTACGCCTTTTAGTTTCGCTCGCTGTCAGGCTGCAAACTGCTTTTGGTTTCTCTCCCAGATGATGAAGCCTCTCTCGAACCCTTGCCCTGGAGTATTCGGCACAGGGGCCAGGAACGGGGCCGGGGAGGGTAACTGGGCTGCATGGCTGTGTATAAAATGCATGAGTACACGGGGAGCAGCGACGTCCCCCTGTGCTGCCCCCATCACTTCCAAAGGCGCCGGCTGTGCCCTTGGTTTGTCGAGCTGATAGCAAACACCACACGCGTTTTCTGCAGGAACACCCTGCGTTTTCCCTCGATTCTCAGTTAATTTCTTGGGTGCTGGCAGAGCCGGGGTCCCCCCCCCAGATCTCCTCACCCCCACTCAATAAACCGTTACCAAATGTTTTCTTTTTCAGGCCGCTTCTATTCGTTGGTTTTTTTTAAGTCTTTATTGAAAAGAAAGTTGCAGTTGTTACACGGACACCGAAAATACAGAGTCACAGCTGGTTCTCTCAAAAGATAGCTTTATATGTATAATATGTACAAAAGTTGTAAACATTTTCAACTGATTTCCATACACAGCCCACTTGCTACCACAACGCACAGGAGACGAGCGACAACCGCAGCTCTGGGAAGCGGTCTCCAGACACAGGTACCTGCAGGGACAACTGAACTGCCCAGACCGCGTTTGGTATCGCTTCAATATCAAAACTCTGCTCCGAGGTTTAAACGCGAATCGTGGCCAAGTGCGGGCAGCTGAGCTGGGGTTCAAACCAGGGCGAGGGATGAACCGGAGTGGAACCGGCCTCATCTTTACCTGGGCCAAATGAAGTGGATGGGGAGCCCGCTACAGCGGCTTTTATGGAGAGAAATCCTGGTTGACTGAGAATTAACGATGTCATTTATTAATGAGCAGATGACAACCACGGTGCGGTCGGGGTGAAGCGACCTGAGGAAGAACCAAGGCCTTTTGGGGGGGGTGGTTTGGGGAAGGAGGGGTGCGGGTGACCCCCAAAAGAAGAAGTGGGTGATGGCAGAGCCGTGGCTGCGGGATGAGCTGATGGGAACGGGGAAAAAAAAGGAGACGGAGGAGCACAGGATGGGGGGATCTTTTTATCAAGTGCTGGGTTCAGCAAAGCTGCCACCTCGCTAGGAAGAGCTTAAAACTTCCAATTATTTCAACTCTTTCTGATTATGCTTAAAATAAAGACACAAAGCCCACGGTGTGGTCAACCAGCGTGGAGAGGCATCCGAGCTGCACCACGGCCTCCTGGAGCGAGGGCATTTGGCAGGACACAGCTCCAGGAAAAGACTCTGGGATTGTTCGAGTTCTGCTCTTTCCACCCACGTTCGGTGCTCACGGTGTGCAGTTCAGAGCCCTCTGCAAGCTGCTCTTGGTTTATTATTGTATTTTTACTGGATTTATGAACCAGCTTGTGAGGCCGGCGCAGGGCAGTGCACCACGGCCTCCTGGAGCGAGGGCATTTGGCAGAACACAGCTCCAGGAAAAGACTCTGGGATTGTTCGAGTTCTGCTCTTTCCACCCACGTTCGGTGCTCACGGTGTGCAGTTCAGAGCCCTCTGCAAGCTGCTCTTGGTTTATTATTGTATTTTTACTGGATTTATGAACCAGCTTGTGAGGCCGGCGCAGGGCAGCCACGCAGCCCTGGGGATGCCTTGAGGACGGGGTCTGGAGGGGTCCGAGGGAAACTGAGGCACGGCTGAACCACAGCAAGCGCACAGGGAGGGACGAAAGGGGGACAAAGCAGCACAGGGCGATGTTAGGGATGCTTGAACCCCAAATGATGCAGTGCAGTTACCACGAATTGTATTTAGCTGCAGTCTGTCCCTGTACGCACAGCCCCGTCTGCCTGACGAGTCACAGCCGCGCTGGTGGTTAACACAGTGCTGCCGACACCGGGGACACGGGGGTGTCCAAAGACCGGGAAGGAGGAGTTCCCACCATGGGCAGGCCCTGGTGGCACCGGGAGCCATCGTATGGCCCTGCCTCGGAGCACGGTTTGACTCTGCAGGGCCCAGAGTTTGGCAACGGCCTCACCAACGAACCAGAAAACGGTGTTTGAGGTGGGCAAAGGCTCGTCCCAAGCCACGTGTGGCTGTGGGAGCATGGTGCCACGTTAATTATGGTTCATCCCAGCTGCTGCAGCCTCACTGGGGCAGCTGTGGCCATCAACGCGCTGGTACTGCCTGCAAAAACCTCACTGATGGAGTTGGGGCTGCCTGTCCTTCCCAGAGCCACCCTGGGGGGCAAAACCCGTCCTGTCCTGCCCCGATGGCATTTTTGGTGGCAGAGGGAACAGGGTTGACCTCCCTGCAGTGCCCGTTGCTGCGGCTGCATGCATTGCTCCCAGCTCGGGTTTAACCAAGGAGCAACCTGTTGTGCCTTCCCACAGCCACGAAACCTCTGCAGCCCCTTCCTCCTCAGCACATCAGCCAGGTCCTCACCCCCTCACCTGCAAGTCCAAGGTGCCGCTGCCTTTTTGGGTGCCATCAAAAGCCGCTGCCCTGCAGAAGATGGAGCCCTGGGGGGAGGGCTGCGGTGGCGCCGACGTGGTCCCCGTTTCACCATCGCTGCTGTTGGGGCCGGGGCCGGGGCCGGGGTGGGTGCAGGGGTGGGTGCGGGTCCCTCCTGCGTCCCAGCGGGGCGGGGAGGAAAGAAAGGCAAGGCAGGCCTCGGTGGTACATTCAGATGTTGTAATATTCAGCAGGGTTACACCAGCGTCAGGACGCGTCCCGCACTCGGACAGAGCTTTAGGTCTTTACGGTTACAAGGAAACTCTGCAACAGTTATATAGTTAGAAAAAAATACAATGTACTCAACGAACATTATCTCACGTACAATCAATTTAGACAGGTAAATTGATTATAATTTTTGCTAAAATATTAACACAAGTACTGTTTGTGCTGCTAAAATGTCAGTGTTCCCTCTAAGGAAAAATATTGCTACAGTTCTACCGTACCCTGTATTGAAATCCTTCGCCTTCTTTCCTTTCCCAGCAAGACTCTAGAAAAAAAGTCAGTAATTTATCCTCATTACTTTAGGCTGACACCGTAGCGGGGTTTGGGTGTCCCTGCTCTATTTAATGCCAGGATGTCTTGCTGGTCACCAAGCTCTGTCACCACCTCGGGCACCTCCTCCTTGCGTTATCCCAGTGACACCTCCAGTAAAGCCGCGCAGCATCTTCCTCCCTGCTCCTGCATCATCCCCATCCCCATCCTCATCCCCATCCTCCTCTTCCTCATCCCCATCCTCATCATCCTCATCCCCATCCTCATCCCCATCCTCATCTCCATCCCCATCCTCATCCCCATTCTCATCTTCTCCATCCCCATCCTCATCCCCATCCTCATCC